AGGTGCTGCCTGGTGGGGGGAGAGGGGGGAGCTGCTGCTGCCATGGAGGAAAGCATCAGTCTCCCTTTCCCCCACCAGCCCAGGGACTGCTCCACCTGCTGGCAGATCACCCTCCCCTCCCCACTGCCAGAGAGCAGTCATCAGGGTGTGTGCACGACACGGGAGTTTAATCAGCCCTAAATTGAACCGGTGTTTTTTAAAACTGACTTCTTCAATTTAGGGCCCCTGTTTTGTCTACACACACCCAATTATTTCAACATTCCAGTCATATGAATCATCTCGCCAGGTTTCAGTAAAGTCTATTTACATTAAATTTCTTCTGAATGACCGTTTCCAGTTCCCCTTGCTTGTAACCCAACCTCCTACTATTGCTGTATAAACAACTATCTATAACCTCATTTACCTAGCCCATTGTTGTACATCACAGCTGAAGTCACCATTTGCAAATATGGTAGGGCCAGATATAGTAAATCAGGGGCGGGCAATTATTTTGGGCGGAGGGCTGCTTACCCAGTTTTGGCAGGCTGTGGGGGGCTGCTGGGGTACCCCCCCCCCTTGACAGGTGCCCCACCACTTGACAGGTGCCCCGCCCTCTGGTCACCATCTTGGGACCAATGTCCCAGAGCCAGCACCAGTGGGGCCCAGAGCGGAGCGCAGACTGGCAGGGGTCTGCGGAACTGGGCTGGGCTGCACCAGCAGGGAGAGGGGGGAGCTGGCCCAGCTCTATAGAGCCCCTGCCAGCTGGGACCCTATACCGCTTCTGCCCTGCTCTGTGCCCCGCTGGTGCAGGCCCCATGCTCCCACTGCCTCCCCGCCCACTCACACCCAGTGCCCCCCCAGCCCCGCAGTACAGGTGGGGGGCAGCACACAGCCCCAACCCCCTGCTTGCCAGCTGGAAAGAAGCTGGTGCTGAGTGTGGAGAAAAGCAGCCCCTCGCCCACCCTATGGCCGGCGCTTCCTGCTGCAGCTGCTCTTAGCTCATGTGGGGCTGTCCAGAGCAGGCACAGGCAGCCCCATGCAAGCTGCAAGTGGCTGCAGCACAAGGCACTGGCCACACAGCGAGTGAGGGGCCGCTCTTGCCTGCGCTCAGCACCAGCTTGTAACCCACCCCCACAGCCAGCCTGGCAGTGGGACCAGGCTGCAAGGTGGTGCTGAGCACAGGGTTGGGGGGAAGCAGCCCCTCACCTGCCCCATGCCCCATGCTGCAGCCGCTTGCAGCCGGCCTGGGGCTGCCTGTGCCTGCTCCGGACAGCCCTGTGTGGGCTGCGAGTACCTACAGCAGGGAGCACCGGCCATGGAGTGGGCTAGGGGCTGCTTTTCTCCATGCAGAGAAGGAGCCCAGGGAAAAGATGAGCACGGGAAAAGTGGCCCCTCCCCCACCCCGTAGCCAGCGCTCCTTGCTGCAACTGCTTGCAGCCCGCGGGGATGTCCAGAGCAGGCACAGACAGCCCCACGCGGGCTGCGAGCAGCTGCAGCACGGGGCGCCAGCCACTGGGCAGGTAAGGGCCACTTCCCCCCACTGCACTCCTTCCCTACCCGGGGTCCCCTCCACCCTTCTCTCCTCCCCACTTACCTGTGGTTCCAGCACGGGGCAGCCACGTGCTCCCAGGCCAGAAGCCCCTGCGGGGGCTTCCGGCTGGAGGGCAGGGCCGGGCGGGCCCCACTGTTGTTAGATCCTGCTGGGCTTCCCCTGGGTCCTACTGCCCTGTCATTTTTGACAGGAACCAAGGGCAGAGAAATATTAATTTTCTACATTTTTTAGGGACCCTGCGGGCCAGATAAAATGGCCTCGCAGGCTGCATTTTGCCCACCCCTGTAGTAAATTAAGCCTTTATCCCGCATGGCTTTCTCAGAAAATTGTGCTTAATAAAATCAAAGCTAGCAGCCACTATGAACCACATCCTCCATGAGAAGGAGAAAAATGTAGTCTAAAAACCACCCTCTCCTGGATGCTTCAGAATTGATTGGTATCTTAATAAAAGAAGAATAGTAAAGAGTTACTTTAAAGTTCTGCCTATGGGAAGTAACTATAAGGAAAATGGATTTCTTAGAATATTGGTTTATAGGGTTACATCAGAATAAAATGCAACATAATTCTTCATAAGCTATCTCTGTCTCTATTTTAGGGATAGGAAAAGTGAATTGTAGTGATAACTGCTATTATTAAATCACTCTCAGTTAATTTCCCATTAAAGGACTTGACATTTCATATAGTCACGTTAATATGGTGATGTTGTTGCCTTGGTGAGCCTGGATGATATACTCACCGCAGAAACAAAGGGACGTGTAGAAACCAGGGATTGTAGTAAAACTTTAAAGAATGCATTGGTATTTATTTTACCATGGCATTATACCCAATAGCTTATTTTATTCCTGCATTCAGTAAGTTCCTTATGTTCCATATTTCTCAGATGCAATTTTTTTTTCCATTCGGGAACCCAGAGTCCAAGTTCTTGCCCACCAAAACTGTCCTGGTTCAGTCCCTTTATGTTTTGTATTATGATGCTGTGCCGCCTCCTAACTCTGTCCAAGCCTTCTGGGATTATTTGCCAGTCTCATCAGGCTCTTCTTCAGAAAGTGACACTACACCTTTCTTGAGGCTGACTCACCTTTTCTTCTCCTGTAGAGATTGTGACAGTTCACTTGTATCTAGTTTGAAATAGTAAACAAGAAGAAAAATATATCTAACATGTTGAGATTGTTTTCTTTAAAATGTGTCCTCCCTTTTTAAAAAATGGAATAATTGTACAAATAAGACAAGTTCTCTTAGTACTGTAGAAATTAACTCATCAAATGAGTGTTGAAGAATGGGGAAACAATTCCTTGCACAAGTGTAATTTCTTTCTTTGTCTGAATCATTCAGCAGATCATATTTCTTCAAAATCCCTTGTAGAGACAGTTAGCTATTTCATGCCTTGATTTAGCACTGCTTTATAAGTGCACAAATTGGTAGAGAAAGTTAATGGTTTTAGAGACGTCTGCTGCTGTCCTTCAGTTTTTGTTAATACTGGATAAAGGATCATTATAAAATGGGCATATGGAGGAAGGATGAGAGAGACATCAATGGTGGTAGTCTTCTGAAGAAATTTTAGCTATAATTATCATATTATTAGAACTGCATTTTTGGACCTCTCTAGTAGACCATATTCATGTTGTAAATTGTTTTCAAAAGGAAAAAAACTTCCCGCAAGCTGAACTGCAGAATAGGAAATAGTGTTGTTCAGCTGTTATACACTAAAATGTCTTGTGGTTCTTATTTTAAACAAGTCAGCATTGTCAGCGTATAGCTACATCACTTGTTGCCAGTCATGCAGACTGCAAAGTAACTTTACTCACATGAGTAGTCCTATTGACTTTAACGAGGCTACTTTCATGAATAAAGTGCTTAAACTCATGTGCTTAGGTCTTTGTAGAAATTAGACCTTCATTTGGTCAGCTGTGGTCATAATTCACTTGCCCTGTGCGCTATTTATAAAAAGCTGGATCCTGTATCCCTTATGTACCCAGAACTCGAGAGTGAGTTTTATAGATATGTGAATACTGAGGTCACAAGTGCATTCCCATAATAAAGCACTAGGTCTGGGAGTGGCAGAAAGGATGGCAAAGGTTTAACAGTAACCTCACAATGTGAGGAGGGTGGTGTTTATACACATATTGGTGACTAATTGTGATACTTTATTTTTTTGACAAAATAAGGAAGGCATTCTTTGTCATATTCCCATTACAATGTGAGTGTATAGTGCCCCTGAAATGAAGGATTAGTGTAAGGCCTTTAAGATGTGTTTTAAGGAGGAGGTAGGTAGATGGATAGCAGACATTTTACTGTAATAAACAAAGGCGTTAGAGGATCTGGTGGCTAGAAACTGAAGTTTGAAATAAGGTGCAAATTTGACAGCGAAGGTAGTTAATCACTAAAACAATTTACCAGGAGATATGGTAGATTCTCCATTACTTGAAATCTGTATATCAAGATTGAATGTCTTTTTAATAGGTGAGTTCTAGTTCAACCGTGAGTTTTGAATTATTGAGCTTACTGGCTTATGCTGTGCTGGAGGTTGGACTGTGTCCCTTAGCAACCACACAATATATATTCTGCCCTTAGCATCCATTGTCTGGCACTGAGAGAGTCAGGATACCGGCTAAATAGACCTATGGTCAGAACCATTCTAGCATTTCTTATGTCATCACAAAGATCCTTTGTGATCTAAAATCTATGAAGCTTTGTTAAACTTAATGTCAGATTGATCACAAATCTGTTTCTGGTTGGTTTGTTTTTAAGTTGTTAATGGAAAATGTCCTTAGTATAATAAAACCATCCTTTTAAGGGTTATTTTGATGGTATCAATGTTCTAACAGCATCCATCTTTCAAGCACTCCACATCATGTTGTAGGTTTTACAGTGTGATGGAGCTTTTGCTGTGGTGGTCCCATTAAAGCAGAATCCACCTTAGTTTCTAAAAAAATTGTTATTCATGAAGTATTTTGATTTTTAATCTGCTTTGACTCTCTAGGTTCTTAGGTGAACCCCAATACATAATGAAGTCAGTAGCTGTTTTTTAAAAGAAATATTGGGGGGGTGTCTTATGTTTTTAATTTTGTGTGCAGCACCTGGGGGAGGGCAAAGGAACTTTATAAGAATGGTTCCATGAACAAAGGGGTCTTGTCAATTGGATCTTTCTTGAAAGAACAGTGGTGCGTTCTGCTTGAGAAGGCATATTACTCAGCTGAATTTGAGATTAGAATTTTAAAAAAATCTGACCAATTCCAGCTTAGTTGTATTTAGTTATAAAGATTAAAGTTTTTTCTTTGATATCTTAATAACACATGACTATTACTTTTTTCAACACCTTCTTTTCTTAATGTGTATTAAAGAACATGCAATGGACAGAAATTCTTTTTACAATATAAACTATATATATCAGAATATAAATACATTTTTATATTTCACGTAGAAGCAAAAAAGTAATAAGTATCACTTTTTTGTTTTATTTTTTCTACAGGCCAAAGCCTATCTGCGGATAGCTATGGAAATAATAAGAAGATTACCAACACCTCCAGGATGAACTGTTCATCTCAGGGATATATGATTAAACCTTTTAATAAAGTGATCTTTCAGTGTAAGCAGTGATAGAACAAGTGGCAGAAATATGTAATTATACATATTATGTTGCATTTGTAAAAATACAATTCTGTTTCCCTTGGATTAACAAAATCCCTCCTTTGGATGTCCTCCATTTTAATATGGAACACCAGCCTGTGGAAACTCCATTCCCGGAACACAACACCTCTTTATCCAAGCACAGAAACCTGTAACTGTGGGAATGACATGTTGAAGTTAGTAGTCTCATCTGTATATCTTTCATAATCAATTTGCCTTAGTTTATTTATATTTTTGTTCAGCCTCCCTTCATTTAATTACTAACATGGCCTTACATTATGTAAATTTGGATGTTTCTATAAACCATCAAAAATGAATGAGCAGTCCTAAAACTATATAACTGCAATATGATTGTGTACATGTACACTTCAGCATCTGAAGGATATCCTTTATTGTAATGATTTTTCATAGTGGATCATGGGCTAATTCCTTCCTTACTGGATAATGTTGGATCATGACATAATTCCTGATTTACAGGATAATGAACTACATGACACTGAGACATATTTCTTGACTGTTTTGTGTTATATTAAATCCAGATAGAAAAGTAGATAACAGCCAGGTCTTCACTGAAACTCAGATGTTGTATCTGAGCTTGATTTACCAAAGGAAATAAATGATCAATATATATTATTTTGATGACTTCATACATGAACATATTCCTGTTACAAAGTAACAATTCAGAATATAAATGTATAAACTAAAGATGTAACTAGAAGAAAACAAATATTTCATTTTCTGACTGCAAGGCCTAGTACTTTCATTTTTTTACTGCCTTGTTAGCTTCAATCCTTATTTTTGTATTGATACAGGTGATGCCTGTGGATGTACAAGAAAATAGTTCCATAACATGGGTTTCCATTTCCAATTAGAAGTTTGAATTTATTTTCACTGTTTTGTACCATTTAAACATATGTATCTTTAGGCCTATTGAAGTCTTGCGGGGCTTCTGCCATTGACTTTAACAGGCTCAGGATTTCACCCTTAATTTATACTATTTTCATGTTATCTTTCCCATCTTGAAATGTTATGATATGGAAGAGAATGTGGCATGCTTTCTCACTTGGATCATTTGAAACATATGCACCTAACAGAATATCTAAAATTTAGGCACGAATTATGAAATCTCAGACTTCAGTTGTTTTGCAAATGCATTAACAGTGTAATCTAAGAGAATTTTGTTACTCTACCTTTATCTGTTTACTTGAAGAAAACTGCAGAGAAATAAAATTTCACTTTAGTTGTTTCTGTAGCATGTGATTTCCAGCCTTTTGGATTGAACACTTCTTCAAAGAAATCATTTACAATTGGCCTTGATACATTTTACAAAAAATAGATGTGTGATAATGTGTTGCCTTTATTGATAACATCTTGCCTCACTGGTTTGGTGAGTTTTCTCACTTACATGCATATCTGTTGTATGTACCCCATTATTAAACTGGCATATTTGTGTGTGTGTATTGTAGGTAGCCACTGATCCTCTGGATCATGGTGTATGTATAAGAGGTCTAGTCAGTTCCTGATGAGTCCACTTGTATGGAGTCCTGCGACCATTACATTACAAGACCTTAAATGAATATGCATAGGCAAGAGTATGAAGGAGCGGAGGCTACCCAATATCTACTATCCCACACTTTAGACCATAGAGACAGAATCCAAAGGGCAGTCTGAGTCCAGGTGTGCAGTGCCTCAATGGTTGTAGCTTCTGCCAGAAAGCAACAGGTAGGAACTGCTGCTGACTGTATAATGCCTCAGCAAGGGTGCAGGTCTGTCAGGATAATGTCCCTTAGAGTTTCTCCAACCAAGGAGTGCCCATAAGGCAGTGGGTCTAGGGTGTTGAGGTGCCCTATGCTCACCTTACTCTGGAGGTTGCAACATTTTGGTATTTCATAGGAGCCACTGCAGCAGGCACCCAGCCCAGTCTTGCACTCACCAGGGCAACAATCGCCAGGGCACTTCATGGTCCATGGGATCCCAGGCTGTCCCAGTGGTGGGTGATGAGCCCACAGGCAGGCATCACACCTTCCTCCATACTCACCCCCAGATAGGGCAGGCAAGTGGTGGGAGATGCACCCCTCACCATGTGCCCAATTCCCAGGCAGGGATGGAAGCAGGAAGGTAGGTTCCACCTGGACCTGGAGCCCAGATGAGGCCAAGAGCAAGCAGCTAGCATGCCTGGTGCTGCCTAGAGCTGGGAGGCTGCACCTGTAGCCAGCGATGAGCCCTGCAGGGGCTCTCAGCAGCTGGCGGTGGCCACAAGGCACATATGGGCATGCAGGGGTCCAGGTTGGCTCAGGTCACCCTGGAACTTCCCTTATAGGGCAGCTTCAGGCCCAGGAGCAAGGGAGGTGGTGGCGTAGGTGCTGGGCCATGCTGTTTCCCTCCACCAGAGCCCAGGATATCTCATCAGACACCAGCCTGACCAAGGCTCTCACAGTAAAAGGTGAGCCGAGCACCCATGACACCAGAGCTCTATATGACAACAGCAAAAGGCCAGAGGGTCATTGCTTCTCCCACAGAATCTGGGACCTTTCATTAATGTATCTGTAGTTGGGGGCTTTTTAGGGTTACAGGTTGAACTTTGACCTACAGCACGTCCCCATTCAACCTTTATAAACCAAGTGGAGACCAATCCAGAAATATGTATTGGAAACCATAACAACAAAGATATCACAACAGCAGAACTCTGATCAACTGTATATACAAACACTGAAGCTAAACTATAACAAGAAAACATAACACTCTTATGGAACCTGCTAGATGTCGTTATGGTGCAGCATCAGGGCCTACCCTGTGGCTCACTGACAGTGAGATGACTGTAACCCTTGACAGCTCTCAGATCCTTCCCCCTTAAGGGTACTCAGATCTGAAACTATAGCGAAGAGGTTGATACATTACCAAATGAGTATTGAGATTCGAAAACACCATCTCCAGGAAAGTATCCAGGTAAGTATCCTTACATCCAAGATTGTCTTTGAATCACTCTCCTTTCCCCATAGATCGCTATCACACACACCAATACTATAAGGCCTCTCACAGTTATTCCATATGCTTTCACCATACGCTCATATGTTCTTTTCTTTCTATACCCTCGCACACACCAGCCCTCGCACCATTCACCTTAGACTCTACATTATTCACACGCAGTTCTCCTTACAGAATTTCCTTTTTATACCACTCCAATCACCCCACCTGTCAATCGCAATGCTTTACCAATCATAATGCAGTGCACATATCTTCACTGTCTCTGCACTCAACACCTGTCTTGGTGCACATGTTACTCAACTTGTCCATATGATAACACTGTGCATGTCCCATAGGCGTAATTGGGTCACTGACATCATTAAGGTGGAAAGTTCAGCTGTTTTGTAACCTTCACACCTCTAGTCAAAGTGCGCATGCCTGTGAGGGTGTCCAGGCCAGGAATCCACTTATAACAACAGCAGGAACCTGACTACCTTGTGGACAGATGCCAAGTACCTGCAAGGGCCTCACAGGGGTTCATAGTGCCCATGGCCCCAAATTACCCACAGAGATTGGCCAGATACAGGCCCATCCTGTGAACCAGGCTCATGACTGGGGTGTGAACCCCAAAAAGCCTTAGCTGCCTGAAGGCAAAGTGAATATATACTGTAAGGCTAAAACTAGGCACATGAGCATGGGCATGCCTATTTATCTTGTATTACTTTATTAATTCTGACGTGATACGGATGTTGCTGGTGGTAGACCCTTGTCAGAGTAATGGCTCGGCCAGCCCATGTTGGTTCTAGATTGTTCTGTTTTTATTTCCCAATTGGACCTTTCCTTTGGTATCCTCCCCGATACCATTACACAGGAACACAGGAAGTGGAAAGGGGTTGGGTGTAGGGGAGGTGGAGTCCCATAGAAGACATATCTGGATGCTGAGACCTGTACCCATCTCAACGTACCCCAATATGTCAGGTACCATCTCCTGATATCCTTAACATCAAGTTGTGGCAGGAAGCCTATAGAGCTAAGAGGGCAAAACACCCATTAAGAGTGGCAGCTGGGTCCCACCCTGGTGTGGCCCTTCAGCCCAGGTTCCACTACAGCCACCTCATCACTGCCACCAGGCCCTCCATTTGGATGCAGTTTACAGTCATACCCAGGACCAAGTCAGATAGATGTGTATGTGTGTGTGCGTGTGTGTCTGTGGAATAAATATATGCATATGTGTGTATATACATGTATTTGTTTGGCTGGCATAACCAAAGGAAAACACATTAATTTTCAGTGAGAAGCTCAAATTTTTAAAGCTTTACTTTAAAAAAAAAACGTATCTCAGACTTGCTGAACATGGTATTCATCACATTTGTTTTTTATGATGGCTAGTTTGTGTATGGTAGCTGACTCTTCCATTTCAGGATTTGTACTGGATGGACAATCAGAATTCAGTTGCAGGGCTGTTTTGTTTTATTTTCTGTCTCGCCACATCCTGAGGTGATGTGAGGGGTCAAGTTAGCTTTCACAATGTTCTTTCTCTTTTGCTCACTTTATTTTAACCAATAGATTTTACTATTTCTGGTCTTGTTTTTATTAAAATGTTTTGAATGCCTTTCTATCAAACACATGGGTAAAACTGATAATACATCATTTCTAAAACAATACAAAAAGCTCTCCTTTTTAAATTAAATATCATCATCAAAGGATTGCAGTATGCACATTTATAAATGTTGTTTTCATGTCACTGTGGTGGGGAAATTGAGATTTCTTTTTATAAAGAGTGGCATTTTAAAAAGACATACATGCATAAAGAGTCTGGGGAATATGCAATTGAAAGGACCATGTTTCTTGCATATAAGGACAAAAATGTCCAAAACAAAACTATAATAAAAACAAGTTTGTATTGAATACCTCAAGTGTGTGGTACACTGCACCTGTTGTTTATATAGTATGCAAATATTTGCACATATTTCTTTCATGATCCAAGGCATATTGATAAATAGTCATTGTGTAGATGACTGAGGTCAGTTATTATCTTGTGAGTATTAATGAAAGATGAAAGAACAGTTTTTGGCTATAAATATAAGGACAATACCAGGAGTGGATCTAGAGGGGGTGTAGTGACATGGTCACAACTGCCTTTTGGACCATATTACAGGAGCAGCAGCTGGGGGTGTTTCTAAGTCCCTAAAAGAGTTAAGCTCCTTCCTCCAACACCTACTTCCTTCACTTCTATACTGAGTGGCACCTTCCCTCTCTTTCCTGCCCCCACCCCCATCCACCACTGCCACTGCCCTCAGCTGATCTGGGGATGGGGGAGCTCCAGAGCTGCTCCTGTCCTACTGTGCAAGGAACTGGGGGAAGCTGGGGGCAGCAGGGGAAGAGGTCCCCTTCCTCCCTGGTCCCCGCTAGGTATTTCCCCAGGTATTTCACCAGCAAGCTCAGGGAGGGGGAGCCTGCGACTGCCACTTGTCTCCAGTGGAGCCCAACTCCCATTGCAGCTGCTTCTCGCAGCCCCTGAGTGGACAGAGGGATGAAATCGGAGAGATCTGTGCTTCTTTGTGTGTATCTCAGGTTTTTTTCTTCCCCTTTCGTGAGCTGAGATCTGTGCAATCCTATCTCTTTGGGGATGTCAGAGCCCTTTTACTTACACATCCTAATGGAAGTCTTACCATTTCCAGGGGCTTCAGGACCTTCTAACTGCTTCCCACATGAATTGGAATATAGGGGGCCCTGTCTGGGGGATATAATCCTCTCTACACATTCTCCAATGTGGGAGCCAGGGTTTGGGAGGGCCTTGCAAATCTAGAGTGTGCACTTTTTAGAGTGAGCCCAGATTACATCATATCACAATTAGAGATCTTCCCACCTGCTCCAGCTAAATCTCTCTACTATTCATTGTAGTTACACATGGCACAGTAAATGCAGCCAGAATACTGCCGGGTAATTCATTCCAATTGGCTATTGCGAGCTTCAGGGGACAGAATTAACATTGCATAGGCATGTACCTTAACTCTTTATTTCCTGGTTTTCAGACTTGTTGCTCTGGAAGGTTACAGGATACTTGAACTTGTTATTAATGGTTTTGTTTTTTGCTCATTGAATTTCTACTACTGTGCCCATATATTTTTGGTCCATATTATTTCCTTTAGCAACTAAAACTACTGTTTGTGGAGGCCATGAAAACTTACTGTATTTCCCCAAATCCAAGATGACTTCAAATTTAAGACAACCCCCTGTAATTAAATTCTATACATGGACAATTATAAACGTGTTATAATTTTCCATGTATACA